ACAGTCATGTAATATACTAGATTTTTGGATACTCATGAGAACACTCTAATAATATTTGGGAAAAAGTGCAAGTTATGAAGCTCTTCATTATGCAGTTTTCTCCAACAACTCATCACTTCATCTCTCTTTGGTCCAAATATTCTCAGCACCCTGTTCTCAAACACCCTCAGCCTTTGTTCCTCCCTTAATGTCAGAGACCAAGTTTCATACTCATACAGAACAACAGGCAAAATTTATAGTTTTGTACATTATTTTTATGTTTTTAGACAGCAGACAGGAAGACAAAATGTTTTGGACTGAATGGTAGCTAGCATTACCTTAATTCGACCTCCTCTTAATTACCACCTGAATCAAATTTTGATTTGTTACAGTCATACTCAAATATCTGAACTGTGCCACATTTTCAAGACAGCAACATATACATACTTATCTCTGGGCTGACTTCTAGACCAAACTGCTTACTAATGTCAATTAAAGTTTCTGCGTTTTTCTTTATGGTAGTTATGTCATCATCCAGTAGATTCACATTATCAGCACAGACAAGTAGTTGATGTGTTCCATTTAATTTTAGTACCATTTGGTGTTCCTGGACCTTTCTAATGGCACATTCTAAAGCAAAGTTGAAAAGCAGTGGTGATAAAGCATCTCCTTCTTTTTGACAGTTATGAATAAAAAAAATTATCAGACAAATGTTTACCTATACAGACTTTTATCTGTTTCGTTTAAACACATTTCAATCAGCCTAACTAGTTTCATGGGTAACACAAACTCTATCAGAATATTGTACAATACTTCCCTCCTATTTGAATCATGGGCTTTCTTGAAGTCTACGAATAGCTGATGCACTGTCACATTGTATGCCCATTCTTCCTCCATTATCTGATGAATGCACAAGATCTGAACAGTAGTTGATTTGTTATGTCAAAACCCACACTGATGATCCCCAATAATTTCATCTATGTATGGACTTAAACCTGAGAGAAGAATATTGGATAAAATTTTGTACGAAGTTGACAGCAGTAATATCCCACAATAATTACTACAGTCAGTTTTATCACCCTTGTTATGAACTGGTACAATAATAGACTCCTTCAACTGATCAAGCAATACTTCCTTACAAAAAATAAAATTAATTAGCTTATGGAACTTAGAATGTAATATTTCACCTCCTGCTCAAATAAATTCTGCCAGAATTTGATCACTACCTGGCAATTTATACCTTTTCAACTTTGCAATAGCAATTTCAACCTCAAAAGGGCTAGCATCAGATACTAACAGCTCAGCTGTATGGATTTCTGTCTGCCTAACATCACTGACCCTATGTACATTCAATAAGTGAGAGAAGTAGTTCTTCCACCTATTCAAAATGTTGTGGGGATCTGCAAGCAGATAACCAGTTTTATCCTTCACTAATTTACTTCTAGGTTGGTAACCCCTCCTAAAGTCATTTATTCCTCTATACAGGTTAATTTATTACAATGTTCTTGTTCTTACTGTTTATTGCAAGCTCATCAATTTTGTCTTTCAGATATTCCCTTTTTTTTTCTGGAACGCCTGCTGGTTTCACTTCTTATATTGTTCAGATTATCTCCATTTATTTTGCTCGGACCCTGCAACCACTGCAATTTGGCTTGTTTCCTTTGGTACAATAATTTTGAACATCCTTCATCGAACCATGGCCTATGCTTCTTCAATTCATAATAACCTAGACACTCTTTGGCTGAAATTTTTATATTCTCCCTAATAGTTTCCAAAGCTCTATTAATATCCACCTCAGTCTCTAAGTTTTCCAAAGCTGTGAACCTATTTGAGATTTCAACACAATACTGCTCTTTACATCCTACCCCAGTTAATTTCTTGAGATTGAACCTCTCCATATGATATTTTGTGCACTGCTTGTTTACTCACTGCCAGTCTCTCGCTAACTTTTGCCACCACCAGACAGTGGTCAATATCACAATCTGCTACACTGGATGATCATATATCAACTACTTGATTTGGTTCATCGTGGTCCATCACACTAGCAATATTATAAAATTAATCAACTCTGTCCAGTGTGACTGATAAAACGTTTCTTTCTTTCTCTCCTTAATCTTCATCCTTGACATGTTTCAGTCTTAGAGACAATCTTCAGAAGGATATATCAATACAGGGAGAAACTACTATTACAATGTGATTGGTCGATATCAATACATACATACAACATCACAATGCCATGAATATAAACTCTGATCCTTTAACAACTACAGCGACCTGCATGAATACATTAAAATATGCATAAATTATTATAGTCAGTCTGTATACAAATGTGGTTTAAAAGGACTTTGTTAAGATTTTTAGAACCAATTTGGTTCATGTCCTTTATATTGCCTCTCTTTAAAGGAAGTTGAGTGTCTACCACCTTGTGGTTCTGTTGTTTGATGAACAGGACTCTTTAAGTGTCGCCCTGTTGTTTGGGCCGCGCTGTGTTGTTAACAACACAGGATCAGAGTTTATATTCATGGCATTGTGATACTGTATGTATGTACTGATACTGACCAGTCACATTGTAATAGTAGTTTCTGCCTGTATTGATATATCCTTCTGAAGATGGTCTCTAAGATGGAAACATGTCAAGGATGAAAGATTAAGGAGAGAAAGAAGAAAACGTTTTATCAGTCACACTGGACAGAGTTGATTAACTTTTCATAAAGGCATAAAGTATACTTGAATGCCATCTCCTGTCTACCAAAATATGGTCAATTTGGTTGTGTCTTTCCATCAGGAGTTATCCAAGTCAATTTATGAATATTATGATATGGGACTTTTACTTGTAACAATCAGATTTCTGGATGTGGCCAAGTTTACTCTCTAACTCCAATATCATTACTAATTTTGGGCCAACTGTCATTCCAAATTTTTGGTCTGATAATGTCTTCCCTAACTACTTTGGCATTGAAATATCCTAACAAAATTTTAATATGGTATTTAGGGAATTTACTGAATACATGTTCTAGTTCTCCATAGAACCTGTCCTACATATCGATTTGATCCTCATATTGCCTTCCATCCAGAGGATTCATATGGAAGGTAATATAAAATTAGTTTTGTGAACAGTTATGTTGTACATGACATGTTCTTTCCCATACACACATCATCCAGCCTGATTAGCAGTCATTAAAAACAAAATTACTGCATGTTGAGACAAATTTTACCACTATCTTCCGATGTGGTGTTCTGCTGGTGCTACATATGAGCTATATTATGTGGGTCAGGGATGAAAGAAGTCTGAATAAGAAGGTACTTTGTACACTCATCTGTGCCACAGATGCAAAGGGATGGGAAACCTTACTGTAGAGACAGCTGTATTCAACAGCAAATAAATTATGCTCTTTGCCTCTGAATTTGTATGGTACTGGGTAGTCACAATTCACATGGCCTTAAATTTGGAGCCACCACTGCTGCATTCTACAATAAACTTTGTTTAAGTGTTAAAACTTTTCAGAATTAACAAATTGACTGTAAAATGCTCAGTGTATTCTTATAAGTAATATATATATTCATAAAATTCTCAAGTTCATTTTTAATTTTAGCCTATGTCAGAATACTTTTCGTAACTTGTGGAAGCAACCAGCAACTGTCCGTTTTCAGTAAAAGGACAAACTTACTCTGCTGGAAATTATAGGTCCATAGCTATTCTTAACAATTCTGTCAAAGCTTTTATCACACATGACCATGTTTCTCACTTTTTAAAATCCAAATTAAACTCTTCCAAACATGCTTTATGAACCTAAATTTACTGTTACCAATTCAGTAACTTTCCTTCACTTTGTTACCCCTTTAGTCTGTACACATGGTCAAACTGATTCTATTTTGATTTTAGCAATTCCTTCGATATTCTTCCACACACATTGCTTTTCCATAAACTCACTAATTATCTTCCAGTTACTTAAACTGGTTTCTCAGTTATTTAACTAAGAGACAGTCTTGTGTGCATTTCTCCGGCATATGTTTGTTGCCTTTTGTCACATTGTCAGGCATATTTCAAGGGCCAGTTTTAGGGCCTTTGATTTCATAATTTTATTAGTGATTTGTGTGACATAATTAATCACTACAACTGTCTTCTTTCTGCTGATGACATTAAAGCCTGTCAAACTACCAATTCACCTAATGATTGTTTACTTTCAGTCAGCTATTGTGTATATGGTGTTCAGCAAATTTTATGATGCCTAAATTTTGTAAAATTAGTTATTTCTTCTATCGGGAAAACAAAAAGTCTGTATCAATACAGACATGGAAATTCTTTTACATTGCACTGAAGACCTGGGTGTACATACTGATTGTAAACTTCATTTATCATCACCATGTTAATTTTCCTTTTTCACATGCAGTGAAATTATTAGGGTTAATTTGTATACCTACATTTTCCATTTCTACCAAAGACAGTATACTGATGCTGTATTTTGCTTTGGTCATATCTAAACTGTAGTATGCTTCTACTGCTTGGAACTCTGTTACAGTTAATGACTGCAATACATTTGAGCTCATACAAGAAAAATTTGCAGCCCTTTGCCATAACAGATTTTTTAAAGATGTGGAATATCATTATGAAAATATACCAGAAAAATTAAAGTTGCAGACACTCTATGTTAGGTATTGTCACTTTGGTGCTTTATTTTTAATAAATATTTTCAGTGGCAATAAATATTGTCCCTCTGTCCTCGAAATAGTCAGCATTCATGCTCCTACTTGGAATGTAGGTAACTTTACCAGGTTCAGTTGCCCCTCCAGCCACTGCCCTTAAGCTAGAAGTGTTTCTGCTGCAAATGAAGTTTGCAAATGTACAGACAGTTTTAATATCTCATGTTTGAGTGTTAGAAGCCTAGTCCATCCATTTCTCTTTGTTTTTTGTTCAATTCGTCCTGTGTTGTCTTACTGCTGCTGCTGTTTGTATTCATGCTGACTCTGTAATTTGCAATTCACTGACTGTTGAACTTGGCATGTAAATAAAAAGAGAGCTAAACTGAAAAACTTCCATACTATTTTCAGTTCTATTAGATTTACAATGCAATACACAAATAATACATACATGGTCTGTCCAAAAAGAAACTGAACTTGTTAAATAGGGCGCCAACGAGCCAACACAGGTGACTCGCGACAGTGGCGCTGTGTAGCGGTGACCTTAAACTTTAACCTGACACATGCACGATCATGTCATATCAATTAGTCATCGAGTACGGTAGAGTGAACCTGTCTCTTGTGTCTTTTGCAAGTTGAAACATGAAGGACCTTGAAGAGCAACATGTCTGCACAAAATTCTGTTTTAAATTGGCAAAAAATTTTACAGAGGCTTTTCAGACATTGAAGCAAGCTTATGGAGAGGGTTGCTTAAGCCTTACACAATGTTACAATGGTACCATCGTTTCAAATCGGGCAGAGCTTCCACCGAAGATGATACCAAACCTGGACAGCCTTCTACATCAACGGACAATGATCATGTTGAGAAAGTGCGTGCTGTGATTCGTGAAAATCGCTGCTTAACTCTTCCAGAGAAGATTCTGAAGAAGTAGGCATCAGTAAAATTTTGACCAAATAACTGGAGATGCACTGTGTAGCTGCAAAATTTGTGCCATGTCTTTTGATAGATGAGCAAGAAGTGAACCATGTCACGGTCAGTCAGGATCGTTCAAATGCTGATGAAAACTTTCTGAAAAATATTGTAACAGGTGATGAAAAGTGGGCGTACAGGTATGATATAAAAAAAAGGCTCAATCGTTGTATTGGGTGGGAAAATCAGAGTCGATCAAATGTGCAGGTGCTGTTCATTTTTTTTTATGGGAAGGGCATTGTTCAGCAAGAGTTTGTTCCACGTAGTCAGAGAGTCAATGGACAGTTTTACTTGGAGGTCATGAAGTGTTTGAGGGAGGCAGAGCGAAGGAAGAGGCCTAAGGGCTGAAGAAACAAGACCTAGATGCTGCACCACGACAACGCACCTGCTTATATGTCGCTCCTCATCCATGAATTTTTGGTGAAGCATGAGACAAATGTCATCACCCAAACTGCCCTACTCTCCAGATTTGGCCCCTGCAGACTTTTTTCTGTTCCCAAAGTTGAAATCTACTCTGGAAGGTCGCCGATTTGAGATGATAGAAGAGGTAGAAGAAAATTTGCTACGGGACCTATGCGCTATCCCAAAAAACGCATTCCAGAACTGGAAAAAACGTTGGAAGTGGTGTATAGACAATGGAGGGGAGTACTTTGAAGGACACAAGTATTCTTAAGTTGTAAGCTTATCAATAAATATTTTAAAAAGAAAGTTCAGTTTCTTTTGGGACAGACCACATATATCTATCAAAGTAAAGATCAGATGTAACAAATGTTTAAGAAGAACCATTGCTTTTGCAAATATAAACTCCCATGTTGCCTTAAAACGTACAACTCCATAAAAATTCTTTCAGCTGCATATGTCACTTCACATGAACTCAAATATAGTTCCGAATAATAAACAAAAATTTACAGTATTTACTGGCGTATCAAAATGATACCAAGTAAACTTCTGTTTTTGTTTTCTTGTCTATTTATTTTCTGGGTAGGAAAACCAAACCACTTTGACTGTGACTATGAAATCAAGCAATAACTTTTAATTTATACTTAGGCCACACATAAGAGTGGGAATACATTGCAACCTTGGTATAATGAGAATTGATAAGTTTGTAAAAATGCTCATTATAACAAGTATTTGTAATATCTGAAAATGATTTAAATATAAAATTTTCAAGCCCACCTTTTAATTACATATCACTATATGGCACAATGATTTAAGGAATAATGCAGGCACCACTGTATTTACTTTTTTAGGCATTTACAATGAAAACTTGTGAACACACCCATATTAGCCTTGCCATGTTTGTCTGTCCAGATATGTCTGGTTGTATCTAACTGTGAACCACTAAACATACTTTAATGAAATATGAAAGAGGCGAATTTGACTAAGACATGTCAACATATTTCAATTTTGGTTAAAATCTGACAATGATAAGGGGCAGTACCAAATTGCTCTTCTGTGTGCATCTCATGCAAAGCCCACATGAACTTGTCGAATACTTAACAGAAAGAAAACTGTTTTGAACAAAAGTTGTAAATAGAAATGAAACTCACATTTCATATCCAATACATGTCACGGTTTTCAAGATAATGAAACAAAATGAATATTATGCTGTCCACAGGAAAGTGAATGCATCAGAACTGATATGTTATGCTAACAGTTCCAAAGTTGCTTGAAATGGTTATGTAGACATGAAAATAGTGAGGAATAATTGTACATTCTTGATATCTTTAGAGTTATCTGAACCAAGAAGCTTGATTTTCTCATCTCTCTATTCAGACATTAAGTTTTGAGACTCTGGAATGCAGTCTTCTATGTCCCAAATATGGAAAAGGTGCAGGGTATGGTTCAATGGCACCTTCATGGACTGCCTCCTGTACAACAGCTTGGAGAACAAATTTGCTATTACAGCTGTGCAAAATAAATGCAACTGGCTAGAAATTGTTCATTAACAGCAAAGTGCCGGAAAGAATCCACTTTTTTTATATGAAACATTCCCATACACATAACTTGAATATACTGAGGGTGCCAATGTCTTTTCTTTTTGTCATTAGAATGAAGTTCACATTACAAGCCATACTAATTATATTTCAAATTCAGTGTACAAACATCATCCTCATAACAATACTACAGATTAGTGTCAAAGCAATTTATTTTAGTGTATTTCCTACTTATGACACAAGGTGAGTAGTCCAAAGACAAGAAATGGGGTCTCATACATATCCTATCCATAAAAATGACAAGAGCAGGACAAAGACATCTCAGTGGATCTCCCACGTACAGCACAGATTCTCTCTGAAAGAAAAATCACCAAGTGTGTGTATGCACTCACATTCAAATGTACATGGACGCAGGGCACATAAAGACTCAATATATTTCTCTTCACATTAACAACTTATCTATCCCATCTACACTGAAATAGGTGCAGATTATTACACATGAAGTACATGGTCATTGTTATACAACTTCTTGTTAACAGACTGTTTTTATGGACATATGCATCAACCATTACATAAATCTCTCTATACACACAGGAGCTATTAATGATTGTAAATAGCACATATAATACAATATGGTGCTCAAATTAGGAATGTTATTAATTCCATTATGATCATTATATAATGATATAATATTTCATTATCAAGTATCAAACCTTCCAGTACAATGACTGAAATTGAAGATAGCACCACAATAAATGTTCATATTTTAAGTGCTATGCTATTACAATGAATATGCTTTTAAATATGTAGAACACTACATTAGAGGCACTGATGTAGGACTCATCCCCTGGGCAAATAAAAAAATAATCACTCAAGAGACTGCATATAAAAACAGAATTCTAATGGGATATGAATATATACAGTGGAACCCCTATTTAATATTTCTCTTATTTAAGGCTATCCCTCATTAAACATCCAATTTCAATGATCACAAGTCAATAATCTCAATGTTACATTTCCCACATTTAAGATATTCTTCAGGTCAGTGTTCAAATTCACTGGCCCCCAAAGAAATCTCAAATGGGGGTTTCACCATAATGTTTCCTAGAAGCATCAAACTATATTTCAACTGTCTAAAAAATAAAACTGTATTTTAACTGTTGCTGAACTATTCATGTGAACAGCAACTGTATAAATATCACAGACTCATTCATGGGGAGGAAGGGGGGTAGGGGGGTAGACAGAGAAATGGTCCTCTCAAAGTTTGAAAGTTGTGCTGACAGGAACAAAAAGAAAGTTCCAATAACAGATTAAATGTCCAGATTTGTATGTTAATATAAAGGATTAACAACATTTTAAACGTTTAACCTAGAAAAAGTAATATAAATATATATTAGATTCAGAGAAATGAAGAACAAATACACCAAGTTCCTACATCACTAACACGTTTACACACCATTCATGTGCATTCTTATTTACCATTGCATTCGCAACTGTGAGAACTTAGTCAGGGTTCAAGCTTATGCTAAAACCAGAAAACAAAAGTCTGCTGACAGTCACTGTTTTATCTAATACTGCACATAACAGGTGCTGGTATTAAGCAAACATTCTTTCACATTTACTCCATTAGGCAAGTATGTCACAAAAGCATGTAAAAGTGGTAACTTCTAAAAGAAAAATTCTCTACTTAATAGGATCTATAAAATTTCTTCTGTGAGAAAAATAGAGCACTGAATAAGAATAAGGGTTACATAAAGAGGGAAACTGGAAAATTTTTTGTTTACCTTAAACATTTCTTACTTTTTATCTACTGCTGTTTATCCACGTGAGAACCACAGTCAATCACGCACGCAAGAACCTGGGAGACATAGTGTCACATAAAAACAATATTCTGTTACAGGAGCACACCACATGGTAATAAACTACATCCACAAGACTCATACTTTCACGTGTACAGGGTTAATGAACTGAACGTTAAAATGTTTCTTTCTGTCAGCTATTACGGCACTAAAGGCTTTAGTTCTGGACTACTCACAATTTCTATTACACATTCTTTTTCTTATAAACCTTGACCTTCACAGGGAAATAGAACAATGGGGCGGTGGAGATAGCTTTCAACCAAGGAACCCCGCTGTTGCTTGGCAGTAGCATGAGCAGTTTCCTTCATGAGCAGTGGCTGGATCCAGCCAAGAAACAGATGACTACAGCCTGCAAACCCCACATTCACCACCTGTTGCATAGCATTCTTCTGACTGATTTTCACCTAAGCCTCAAGAGAAAAGGGAAAACAGAAAAGTATATTTATCACTCACCTTCATTAATTATCATTGAATTATGGCTTCAGAATAGTACAGAAGGTTTTATCTTTCCAGACTGACTCACACAGTAGTACAAGCGAATGGACAAATAGACATATTGTGGGAACCAGCGCTCAAATATCCACTGCCTGAATACACAAGCCTGTCAGAATTTTATAACTTATGATAGAAAAACATACTTTAACCTTTAATGCTATTTATTTGGACTATGCTGATCATCTTGGTTCTTCATATAAGAAACTCAATGTTTCAGAAATGGGTTCTGTTCCTGTCTTCAGATGGAGATGATATCAAGAGGTTCCTACTCTACTGAGCCCCTAGGTTAGAGGTTCCCAAACTGGGTGTGTGTGGAAGGGGGGGGGGACATTTTGTTTGTATGAAAAGCTGTTTTCAGTGAAACATTGAGAAACATTTTTAACATCCTGTGCTTGGTTGACGTGGTTTAGTTATCACTCAGTAACACAGAATTCAAACTTGTAGGGCATTGGCGATTTTAGGAAGTAAACGACAATGTATGCCTCTGTACTGTTAGGGATTCAGATTTGTGCCTCTGTGAGGAACGCTAGCAAACTGATCGTTAAACCAAGTCACTCCACTGTTGTTAAGGGATACAAGATAGATGCTCAACCCCTCAAGCTGACTACTTCCACCCCCAACGTTCTCCACGTTCTAGGGCTGGAAAACTGAGTCCTAAGCAATACAACTGTTGTCACAAACCTCATGAAGTTATCTTTTTAACTGTTAATTTAAGTTGGTCATTAAGACATTTATATTGTAGGTAGTCTTCAGTGAGACTTCAGAACGTTAAGACATAGAAATATTCAGTGATGAAATATAATATGTTAACATGTAAACTTTTTTGTTCCATAGTGTACAGACGTAGAACACACATCCTGTAGTATTTACTATGCTGAATCGGTACGATCCAGTGTCAAGAATCAGTGTTTTCTGAACCACAGAATAATGCACAGATTTTAATGTGCATAAAATTAAAACCAGGAGGAAAACTGAATGAACCTACAGCAAACAGAAGCTTTAGTTGCATATAAAAAATCAAAACATTCAGAAATGAAATAGAAGCTCAAAAAATACTTCCATAGAAACGTGATGACATATGCACCCAGCAAGTTTTTTTTAATATTACAGTTGTGTCATGCAAAGCCCTGGAAGCATCTTATCAACAGTCATACAGAATAGTACAGGACAAGAAGCCGCACATGATCCCTGAAACTGTGATACTCTCTGCTGCAACAGACATGGTATACGGGGCAGTCAAATGAAAACGGTTCACCACGCATAACTCACATGGTGTGCAAGTTGGTAACACTGGAATTTGTTTACAGTATGAACATCTGGTGAGGACTCAGGAAAGCACAGTGACAGCGTGCCCTTGCACACTAGTCGTTTGTTTATTGTGATGGAAGCAAGGTTAGCGTTACATATGGTCATTCAACATCAGTAATGGAGGCGGGTAAAGAAGGACAGTGAAGTGTAGTGCGCTTTCTGACTGTTGAAGGAGTAGGAGGACGAGAAATTCGTCGCATGTCTGTTGTTTACGGCAAACACAGCATGTCACATTCGCGTGCATTAGCATGTCATAAGAGATTCTGAGAGGGACGTGTCACTGCAAGATGATGCTCGACTAGGACAGGATCATCGTGTCATCACTCCTGATGTTATTGCTTTGTTGGATGGTCATATCTGGGCAAACTGACGAATCACCGTGGAAGAAATTAGTCTTTTGATGGGAATAAGTCACGGTTCTGTACATGCCATTGTGACAAAACACCTGCTGTACTGCAAAATCTGCGCACAGTGGGTTCCACATCAACTCACGGAGGAACAGAAGACTCAGAGAATGGCTCCATCACTGGGTCACTTGCAACGATACCATGAGGAAGAGTATGCTTTTCTGTCCCGTATTGCCACTGGGGACAAAACTTGGTGCCACCATTTTGAACCCGAGAGCAGAGCCAACAGTGGAAACATGTGAATTTTCCCCCACCGAAGAAATACAAAGCCATACACACAAGTCCTGGTAAAGTGATGATGACATTCTTCTTCAACTGCCCTCTGCTAGTCGAATTTCTCGAACATGGGGTCATAATCAGTGCACAGCACTATGAAGTCACTTTGCGGAAACTGAGATGTGCCATAAAGTCAAAATGCCCTGGAATGCTATCGAACAGCATTACCATTCTTCATGATAATGCATGTCCCCACATTCTGAGGAATAAACTACAGAGATTTGGTTGGGAAGTGCTTCAACATCCCCCCTACAGCCCAGATCTATCCCCATGTGATTTTCACATTTTTGGTGACTTGAAGAGAGACATTTGTGGACATCGGTTTGCACTGGACGAAGACGTGTGTGGTTGGGTAAAGATGTGGTTCTGCAGACAGCCCACAAGCTTTTTCAAGGATGGGACTGACCTGTAACTGTCCAATTTATGGGATGGTAAACTGATGTTTTGTGTATGGTTAGGATTCTGTGAGATTCCTTGCTTTCGTCTCACAGTTGGAGATTTCTCCTGAGACACGCAGCAGGTGGCTTGGGTCAAGCTTGAAGCCAGCTACCCATCAGTAAATCAGTCAAGTTAATACATAACATGAGACGGGGTCTTTAGAAATTCTAAACTTTGACAGGGGAAGTCATAATTTTAGCAGCGTCGTTTTTATGCTGCCCCAAGTTCTAGTTTGACGGCCATGCAGCATGTGGCAAAGTTCACCCCTAAACTCTATACGTGTGGATATCTGCTTTCCTAATTATTGGAGAAAGATTAAGCAACCTCCCAGTCTGCCCGGTCCAGCCAATCATAATCTGAAGAGGGACATCCTTTGCCCGAATTTTTGGGTAACCAGGGCAAATATTTAACATTCAGAGCGTGCTTGGCAGAGAACTCCGAAATTTACATTCACCGAGGTACATGTGTCCTGATCCCCGTATATACACTCTGTGGTGCCTACTGACTTGTATGTCTTAGTGAACAGTAAGGAAGCCTAAATCCACAAATCTGTTAAGTGGATCAGTACGGTGCAGTTACCATTTGAATAGTGTGATAAGAATAAAGACTTTACATGGCTAATTGGTGCTGAGTGTGAATTTCCTACACCTAAAGCCCCACTAATCACCCAAGTCGTGGCCAGTGAACACGGCCTGAGATGAGTTGAATTTCTATACCAGAGCTAGTAGCAATAAAGATCGGCTACAGACCATCTTATCTTCCAGTGGGATAAATGTATTAACAGTTTTGGAGATTACTTTTGAGGTAAGAAATGTTCTTTAATATGTTTTGGCTTCTGACTCATTTTCATTTGACTGCCCCTTATACAAACAATGGTTGGTGTAAAACGTGCTCAGCAGCTTCGCAATATACCGCTGTCAAATAACACGGTCTCTTGACGTATTGCTGATATGTCAGAAGACACAGAAGAACAGCTGATATAGAAGTTGAGAAACAAACGTTTTTCACTTACACACATTCGCTCCTGTCTTAAATCCAACTTTATTTAAATTTACTCCTTTACTTAAAAATAAAATGAAAAGTTAAAATTAAAAATTGCTACATGTTTCGGCTGTACTTGGCAGTCCTCAGGCAAGTGTCCAACTTGTCAAAATTACTACACTGTATTTTCAATGCAATTAGATGAATTACGAGGGGCGTTCAAGTTCTAAGGTCTCCGATTTTTTTTCTCAGGACTGGGAGCAGATAGACACATGCGGTTTTGTTTAAAATACGTGTGCACTCTTTGTGAATGCATGACAGAGATGGCAGAACTCTATGGCACACAGAACTCTAGTGGTAGCGGCGAGTGTGAGGAGTGTTTTTGATACTTAAAATGGTGACGTTTTCGTTACAAGAACAGCGAGTAATCATTCGTTTTCTCCACTTGCGTGGTGCGACACCCATTGAAATTCATCGCCAGTTGAGTGAGACATGTGGTGATGGTGTCATGAATGTGAAAAATGTGCATTCGTGGGCGCGACAGTTCAAAGAAGGCCGAACGTTATGTGACAACGAACCAAAACAATCTCGGCCTTGCACCAGCCGGTCTGACAACATGGTCGAGCGAGTTGAGAAAGTTGTTTTGGAGGATCGCCGATTGAGTGTGGAAAACATCGCCCCCAAAAGTTGGCATTTCCGTGGGATCTGTGCACAAAATCCTGCATGAAGACCTGCGAATGCGGAAAGTGTCCTCCAGGTGGGTTCCACGAATTTTGGCGGATGACCACAAGGCTGCACGCATGGCAATGATGAAGGCATGAATGGGACTTTCTTTTCATCAACTGTGACAATGGATGAGACATGGATGCCGTTTTTCAATCCGCTATTGCATCAGCAATTTTCCAGTGGTCAAAACACACTCCTACAGAAGCGTTCGCAGCGGCCATGGAATCATGGCGTCGACGTTGTGAAAAATGTGTACGGCTGCAGGGAGATTACGTTGAAAAGTGACAGAAGTTTCAAATTTTTTGATTATTGTGTGAGAAAAAAATCGGAGACCTTAGAACTTGAACGCACAACGTATATCCTAAGTTACAACATTTCAGTGTTTTCAATGAACCGTGTCTTGTGGTGCGTGTTCCCTTCTTAGCTGCGAGTGTTGTAGCTAAGAAGGGAACACACATCACAAGACACGGTTTACACAGAATATAAGAAAAACGACCCCCATAGTGGAAGAACCACACGCAAGTTTTAAGTATGACACATAAGATGAATAATCTTAACAAGTTTTTGTGGGTGTAAATTTATTATAGTTGACGAATACGCATTTTTTAAATAATTTTATAAAGGCAATCAATGAAATAGATTAGCGTAATTAGGGCACCTGATGATGGCACTATGTTGCCGAAACATGTCGTGAAGTAACAGGTGAAATTGAGTGCACTACAACACGGCAACTGTATACATACCACTAATCCAGGTATGAAGTGTATATTTTATTTGTCCTTTAAATTAAATACACTGAATAATATATAGCAAATTATGAAGAAAGACAAAAAATATATAATGCTCGTATATACTCATAGCTAAGTTTATGTCAAATCTGCATGCAATTGTTCTAGAAGAGGGGGACATGAAATTTATGAAATGTTTTTTTTGGGGGGAGGGCGGGGCACAACATATTAAAGTTTAGGAACCTCTGCCCTAGGTACAGTTTCAATTACATATATAAAAACAGCTCTACTTAGGAGAGCACAAAGCAGGATTCATCGGACCAACAAAGTAGGAATTATCATAATCATAAATCTGATTTTTAAGTGTTCCACCTTCCCCTACAGGTTGATATATGTGCACTTGTGCACTTAAACTCCCACTCCCACATAAGCATAAACATACATACAAAATGCTTTTACTCTACTAGAAGACCAATTTTAAAAGTGAATGCAAAACAGAACTGCTTAAAATGCTGAATCATGAAGTAAAACAACTTCACTCAAAGTCTGACAATACGCCTACATTCATGGCAAAAACTGCCCATTTCTCTCTATAAAATTTTCACAACACAATTCTGTATTATTTCAACATTAAATAAACAATGACTACATATGTGGCAAACTCACAGTATACTTGGCACCTTGCAGAAGGAAAAGCACTTAGTTTACAACAAATTTAATGATACAAAGTTTTTAAATTTGTTATGTGAGAAGGATAATAATTTCATGTTGTAAGAGCCCAAATACTGGAACACTAGGAGAGGCATCAGCTTTCAGTACTGAGCATGCCACACTTCTGAATAGTGTTGCTGTGGTTAGCCCAAATACTGGAACAGGAGGAGAGGAATCAGCTTTCAGTACTGAGCATGCCACACTTCTGAATAGTGTTGCTGTGGTTAGCCCAAATACTGGAACAGGAGGACAGGAATCAGCTTTCAGTACTGAGCATGCCACACTTCCCAACAGTGTTGCTGTGGTTAGCCCAAATACTGGAACAGGAGGAGAGGAATCAGCTTTCAGTACTGAGCATGCCACACTTCCAAACAGTGTTGCTGTGGTTCACTGCTATGATAAGTTAGTAGTTTCCTTTCTCACTTGATACAAGTTTTAAAAATTTACCATAAAACATTTCTCCACGGTGTTAATTTAGAAAACTGTTTTGGTTGAATTTCTGTCCCTCTTATCTATCCTTAACATTCTGAACTCACTATCAACACAGCATGTGCCTCACCTAGACTCACAATTCCAGATTTAAGAGGGAATGGATTTTTGTTTCTATGAAACAGAAGTGTGTTTATTTTAAATTATCAAGCAGTTGTAAATAACAACAAATATGTTTCATAGTAACAAACATTATACTAGGAATATTAAAACAATCTAGTAACAATAAATGTCTGTACTCTTGACTAACATGACAGAAGGTGGACGTTACCTTGAGGTTGAAGGTCCCTGAACATCACCATTAGAACTGTTTGAACTCACAGAATCACTGTTGTCATTGCTGTCCCGAGCTTTCTTCAATCTGTCAATGTACTCCTGCTGTGATCTAGCTAACACTTGCGCCAAGATGCCATCCTCCCATTCATTTAGACCTGAGGACAGAACAAAAACATTATCATTTCCTGATACAATACTGGACACAAAATTTTAAGCTTGAAGAATTTTACCCTCAAAATTGAAAAGTGGATGAAATCGCTTGCAATGTACATACAATCTACTTTCACTGAAATATTTTAAAAACACAAAAGGAGTTTTGTGAATGTGGAACACAAACTAAAATGAATTTGATAGCTTTTGACAATCACATGGACATGGCAGAGTCTTTTGGATACTTCTTATCAATTATCATACCAAATTTAATGCTTACTGCATGCCCTCATGGCCTGAATCAAATTTAACTAAAGCTGTGTCTTCCCTTTTCGAAAAGTGTATTCTCCAAAAGCACAAGTGATAAAAACAGGAAACAGAAAGTACCATAACACAAACAAAACACTGACCATGGTAGTGCAAGAATTTCATATCTATAACATGCTTTGTACAAGGCACTTGGGTATGAAGTTGCTGTAAAATATAAACATGAAAATGTGTCTGTTTCACTCACATGGCTACCCTGAGATACCTATGGTCTTCCCACATCATGGAGCAGTCCTCACAAATTTAGTTAGTATGATTATCAGTAATGCACATGATGTTAAACAGGCTAACATATTTTTCACATCGGTTAGGTATACTCTTGCCTTTGCTCCAAATGAAACAGACACAAAACTGCAATCACTTTCACAAGTGGCCAATGCTGGTTGCTGCTGGCTTCCACAAAATTTATTTCTGTTACAGCATCATAGCTTGTTGAGTAGGTGTTTACCTTTATGTGGCTTCGAAACAAAATACGTATATTCCTCCTACAGTTCTCTAGAATTACATGTTCCATAGTGCTTCCATGCTCATCACATTAATTATCAAATTTCTGTGGATATTTTATGTACCTCTCATTGAGATTTGAATTTACCTCCTCCTAAATTTGAGTCAGAAATGTTACTGCTCGAGTCAACTTGCTCAGCAGGGACCTACTGGACAGGCTGTCAGATCACTCATATTCCTGGTATCAAAAGTGGGTCAAAACTACTATCATCCTGGTTAATTTACTTTTGCTCCACTTCCAGCCACTTGCCCACTTTTGCTCACTTCTACCATGAAGACTGTAACAGCATCTTCCTGTGAAACTGTTCAAGCTACCTGCAGTCCTTCAAAGGGTCTGGTAAGCTGTGTTCCACCTGTGTGATCAGGGGCTATAACAAGCAAAATTTCAGGTACTATCATGTCAAATGGTGCATAAGGTCTCTGTCATGGGTACTCAAACACTGTTGATAGTACCTGTTTGTCTCCTCCATGTATAGCTGGAGAAATGCTGTAAAAACAGCATAAAGATGATCAGTGGGCTTGAGTCCATGTTGATCTGAGTTCACAGGAGAGATGGTCTGCCAGTAAAGGAATGGACAACCCTGACAGCTTTTGTTACTTGGAGCTTTCCACTTTGTCCTGAAAGTCCTATCGCTAAAATACAAGTAAAATGCAAGCATGGCAATCCTGGTATGTGTCTGCATTACATATATGCAACAACAACAACTGAATAATGGGAGACTGAGTGAGCTGTAGGCATAGCTCACATCATATTTTGTCTTTGTAGGCTTCAGCAACTGTAATCTTATGCCATTTCTTGACCCCCTTCCTGTCATTCGTAAGCAACGAACTCAGATCTCTGCATCACACAATGTGCAAGGTACCTGATAGTTCATGTTCTGGTTTGTATTTCAGTGACAGCGATGTGAGATTCAGACTCTGTGAGCCAAAGTCTACATAAGATTGGAGCTACCGTTATCTGAATCTTTCCTGCTGAACAAACGCTTATAACATATGCTGGGGCAGAATGGTCAGCAGCCTACCATCATGGGGTACACAAGCTAGTAAAACTTATCTTTAATCTGCAATATTGGGATGATATGGGTTATCAAGATGACACCTCAGCTAACATTGCAGGATGCAGTCAGTAAGAATAAAACAGGAATTTATAAAATTAATCAAAATGCTTGTTTTAACAGATACTTGTAATATCCAAACTGGTTGAAATATGCGGGCAGATGAGATTCATCATACAAATACACCTGATTTATTTCTTGTGTTGTTTATACTCTGACAGGTTTCAGTCTCATGAAAGACATGCTTGGGTATTAACAACACTGAGCTGCCACCATTCCCTGAAGTTGCGACGCTTGCTTTGGAGTTATGGTTCTTCAGTGGCATGACGCCATTGCCCTACTGGCTTCCAACTACTGCTTTGGCTGTTGCCAGTTTGTTTACAAAGATGGTTTGCTTGCATTGCTTTATGTTATTGTGTTACACTTTGCAATTAATTTAATATTAAACTGTTTATAGCTGTTATTTTACTGTCTCGGTGTGGTTAAAATATAAAATAACTTCATAACAGCAGATAAAAGTTAAAAGAAGTCTTTAAGACTGTTATGTACATTAGCGTCTCTTTGTATTGTGCGCTGCGATTAGCATAGGCTGAAGCGAATATTAAACTGTCTAAAACTTTAACTTTACTGTTTTTGCTGTGATTAAAATATAAAATAACTTAATATAATGGCAGATAAAAGTGAGAAGAAAAATCATAAGGTTATTATACTCCATTCAATAATTAAAATTATTAAACTTAGTGATAAAGATGTACTGAAAGCTGAGATGGGCAGAAGGCTAGGTTCCTCCCACTTCTGGTAACACTCAAGTGCTACTCCAGTGAACACTGCTATAATTACGAAAAGGACACCTTTGTTGCTGATATGTAGAAACTCTTGAAGGGGGGTCTGGAATGATGATCAGACTAATCGCCATGTTCCTATAAACCGGTCATTATTCAAAATAAAAGCTCAAAATCTTCTCAGGGACATGAAGGCTAAAAAAAGCGATGCAACGAAGGATGCTGAATTTGGAGCCAGTTGTGGATGGTTTGACAGATTCAAGAAGAGGCAAACCTATGTAGCCCAAGGAGAGGCAGCTGCTGCAGAAAGTTTTCCATTGGACTTAGAGAAAATCACTGATAACAGTGGCTATATAAAAGACGAAATTTTTATTGTTGATGAAATGGGGCTGTTCTGGAAGAAGCCATCAAGAACCTTCATTGCAAAAGAGGAGGAAACCGTGCCAGGCTTCAAGCCACCTGAAGTAGGGCTAACCCTTCGGTTAGGTGCCAATGCTTCTGGTACCTTAAAGCTAGTGTATGTTAATTTACCATTCAGGAAAGAAAAAAGGGAGGGGGGGATTATGTTAAAAATAGACTTCCAGTGCACTGGACGTCTAATGCAAAAGCATGGATAACTGCTGCACTTTTTGAAGAATGGTTTGACAGCTGCTTTGTAACAGAGGTGAATGAATGGCTATTGTAAGAACATCCCTTTCAAAACTTGACTCTTTGTAGACAATGCTCCTGGCCACCCTTCATCGTTAGATGATCTGCACCCTAATGTTCAAATGATATTTCTGCCACCCAAAACCACCTCACTGCTGCAGCCCATGGATCACTGTGTCACAATTTCCTTCAAGCTATACCACTCCTACCTAAGAAGAACCTTCAGCAGGTGTATTACAGCAACAGACACTGAAGAAGGAACTGGGCAAGAAGTGATGATGAAGGCTTTACAATTTTAGATGGCATCAAGACTAAATGAGTTACATGGAATGATGTTAAGATCTTTACAGTGAATGGTGCCTCGAAAAAACTATATCCAGAGTTGACAGATGATTTTGAAAGCTTCAAAAATCCTGTACCTGAAGTGACTGAGAATACTGTAAAGATGGCAAGGCCGTTAGAGGTAGAGGTAGAAGTGGAGCCACAAGATGTAGCTGAACTTATGGACTCCAATTCTCATCCCTTGGCACTGGAAGAGCAGAGGCAAGATGTACCTGAAGAGGTATCCATCATTGAGCCTCAAGGCATAACTTCCAAATTCTCTCTGAAGTTTTCTCTAATTTCAAAGCTGGCATGGCTCTTTTGAAAAAGCATGATCCGGATTTTGAAGAGGTTCAAAAGTCAGTGCTAACCTTGTAAGGGATTATGCCTATTACACAGAAATCCACAGAGAAAAGATATGACTATCTAGCTCACAAACGACGCTGAAAGTCCATCTCTAGCATCAATATCAACCCAAAGCCCAACTTCTTGCTGCTTCAAGAAGTGCATCCAAATCTCCAGCAAGAAAGCCTCCAGCCCTTGATGATTCAACTTGTGATGTAAAAGATATGCCCTCCGTTTCTCCGTTTTACATCTGCTAGCCCTAGTAAGGAGTAAGGCAGTGCTTCAACTTGTAGACATCAGGCTGAAACCTAAGGCGATGTAACTCTGGGGTATGCCTATACATACCATCTTATAACTTTGCTTCTTGATGAGCAGATATTGACTCTGACCACAACTTACTGGTTGCCAAGTTCTGAACCAGGTTGAAGAAAATTATAGGATTTCGAAAGCGCAGACCCAGATGGGATTTGGAGAAGTTATATGCTCAAAGACAAAGCGTGCAAGAGACCCTAGAAGAGAAACTCGGTGCATTTGAAGGTGAAAGCGGAAATGCTAAAGCGCAGTGGAACAATATAAAAGAATGCATGTTAGATACTATCAGTGATTTGGTTGGTAAAGTTGAGAAGATAGCAAGAAAACCATGGGTTACACAGGAGATGATGAGTAAAATGGAGGAATGAAGGAAATGGAAGAATGTCAACAATGAAGAAGGCAGGAGAAAATACAGGAGACTGAGGAATGAATTGAAAAGAGCCACGGACAGGGCCAAAAAGGAATATCTTGAGAAGATATGTAATGAGATTATGGAATTTCAAAGAACAGGCCGTTATGATTTGATGTACATGAAGACAAAAGAACTAGGATGGAAAGAGAATCATGGGATTCAAAATGTTGGCATCGAAGACTCCCAGGGGAATAGAATAGTAGATCAGAGGCAAGTGCTGAAAATTTGGGAAAATTATATTTCAGAACTATATGATCGACCTAATCGGCCAGAAACCTTAGAAGTTGAACCGGAAGAAG